GGCATCTTCAGCAAGAGATGCCACTGATGCCAATGGACATGTCTGCAATAGGTCTGGGTGGAAACCTGGCCGCGGCTGACGTTGAACCAGCCAGCAGCTTGTCCTTGTTCTCTGATTTTCCTACTCAGATACCCTTCCTCATGCTGAAATGAAATCTGGTGCAGGCTGGCTTTTGCCACGCAAACAGCTGAAATTTTTCGCTCTTCCCCTTTGTTCCCAGTTTTCTGTTGAATGGAAAAATATGTTTCATTTTAATATCTTTGTATCAGCCACATGCAGTAAATTGCACGTATTTGTAAATCTAAAGCCAGGCTTGTGTTTCTAGAAGACAGATGTCAGGGCCTGTTAGTGCGGAGTAAATGTAAATGACAACAGCTTTTGTAGCTTACATCAACATTTTGAAAGTCTCAGTGCTTAGTTCACCAACAGAGTGATATTTCTGGACTTGCAGCATTTCTTTTAAATACATGTGATGTGACCAGTGTATACCACACTCTCTGAACCCACCACATGGGGTCTGGAGAAGATATGGAGGAAGTGACCGTGCGGCTGGGACCTTTGCACCAGTATCCTCTGGGCTCTGGGAAGTTTAATTATCTTGGGTGTTGTGTTGCCTGGAAGCAGCACGGCTCTAAGGTGGAGTCACTCTTTTGGGCTCTTGATTTATTACAGTCTGTCAGAGAGGAGTGAAGCATTTTAAATGCCATTTCCTCTAAGAGTAAATACCTAAAGTACACAGGGAATTCAGAATTAAGTTCCCTTCAGATGAAGAGAAAATAAACAAATGAGTAAGCGCGTGTTTTGATCACATGAAGAGATCCTTAATTTAAAGGAAGCTATCAAGCAACAGTGAGGCAATTCACTCAAACACTCCTTGATAATCTATGATGTCAATTATCCTTAACCATCCCGCCTCTTTAGCTGCACAGGTTTCATTAACAACATTTTTAACCAGCACATCCAGCACTTCCCAGCGAACAAGCAAAGGGAAGTGGACAGTTGGTGAACACCACGAAGCTCAAGGCCAGCCTGTAGTTGGGTAGATCGTACCAAAGTCAGTACTTGGGTTTCTTACTTCAAATAAAAATACAGAGGAGAAGAACTACCTGAAGCAAAGTGCTTCTGACAAGTAAGATTTACCCTAGGACACTGAAAAGAGAAACTTTAAACAGAAGGGTTCCCATGTCCCATGGAATTCTGAGCACTGGATTTGAACCCTGTGTAAGTGATAGATGCCTGAATGCATGTATTTTGGATAAAAATCAATCAGTGTAGTTTTAGGGCAACCTGTGTGGCTGATGTGACCTCTAACGGCTGGGAATCACCCTAAATGTTCACAGCAGCCTTACAACTAAAAGGCTGTGCTGTGTAAATCTGGGCTGATGGCAATGTCGCTGTTGCTGTTACCTCTTTATAACTGGGAAAGGTTACGGCATTTGAGGACCCTTAGGATCCATAGGAGGCTGAAGATTGGGATGGCATTGACAATTTTTTGTTCACACACATATTCTTCATTGTATTCTCTGTAATTGGAAAGTAATTGAGCAATTCTTTGTTGAGTTATCATGCTACTTCATTAATCCAACAGTAGTTTTACAGGAAAACAATGTCTGTTTGGTTGTTTTCAGCGTGTCTCAACCTACTAGACGTGGTTTGACTGATGATTGCTTCAGTCATAATTGTGACGTGCTACTTCGTTACAGCTCTAATTGTTTTTTAGAATGAATTGTGGTTAATTAGCAAGCTGCTTGCAGCTCATGGAGCTCATAGTAATATCAACACTTGTTGTATAAGGTTATGCAAATAACTGGGGCTTTGCTTAACTAAAATAATGATTGGAACCATCAGAAAACATATTTGACATAGCCAAAATATTTACATTTTCAACTGAAACAAGAAGAAAAATCCTTAGTTTGACTAACTGTTTGACTTGTCGTTAGACTTCCAATGTAAAATACGTGTTAGAAGAAGGGAATTACAGTGCAGTTAGATGATCCTTCTTTTTCTGTGCCGGGCTGAGTGGTAGGACGCTCACCCTGAGTGCAGGAAACCAAGTTTAAATCCCTCTGCTGTCTTAAAAGATTCAAATAGCTAATACCCAGCTCAAAGGTTAATTACTAATTGCTGGTTATTTGCTATATTTAGTACCCTTCATACTCTTTTTTACTTGCTGAGCTCTGTATCAGAGTACAAATTAATTACTGTGTATTTTTTTCATGCTTTTTAAGCACCATCTCGGCTTCATTCTCTGAGATCTCAGCATTTTGTAAGACACTACTTTAATTATCTCGTTTGCAAAAGTATAGCGATGTTAAGCGGGTTTTCTCATGCTGTAGGTCAGTCTAAATCCCTTGCCTTTGGTAAAACCAGTAATAGAAGTTGAGTATTCGGGCTTGTTTTATGTATATACACATGAGAAAAAGAAGTAAGGTTCTTCACACTTTTATAAGTGCAAGAGGCCTGTCTTAGATTTTTTTTTTTCTTTTAAAATCTGAACTTTTGCATTGCTTAGATATTTTTCCAATTACTTGGTGATCAGAGGGAATATTGTGTTTGATTCAGGTTTGTGAATGCTGCAGTTTACTTACCTCTTACCATGGCTTCTGTACTCTTGGGTTTTCTCCAGCTCTTGGACAAAATGTTTTTCTTTAGTGAATGGCGAAAAGCATCAGGAGGAATTTCATTACTGGCTGGAGTGGTTTAAAAAGCCTGCTGCTGCTTTAAGAAGCCAGATTTACATATTTCATGTTTGAAAGATTTACAGTATGTCTCACATGCCTGTATAGAAAGATGGAGCTTTCATTATAGGTTTAATGTCACCGTGATACAAGGATTAATACTCTTTCCTCCGCCTCGGTCTGCGTGGCTGGTCGCCAGTGACTGGTGTGTTCCTGGTTGACTAAGCTGTAGGGGTGTTTCCATATTCAAGGAGCTGCATTTTTGAATAATTAAAGGAAGCTTTTACATCACTCCGGGGTGAAATCCACAGCCAGCAAACCTAGAGGAAGATCAAGGACTGGAGCATCTTTCCGGGCTTCTGGTTGTTTTCTCTCGTGGGCTGGGGATGGAGGGAGAGGACCGTTGACTTTCGTTGCGAAGGTTAAGCTCTTTGTATCACAGAGCTGAACCAGAGAAAGGCTCAAAGGGCCAAATTCTGCCCTCAGTAGCCGTGCTGCAGCCTGGGCACGGTCGCCGTTGAAGGCTGTTCCATGCTCTAATAGACAGGGGGATATTTCACCCTTAGGAAGTGTCTTCTCACCGGCGTGTGACGCAGAACACGGGCTGATGGAGGATGCAGCTCAAGTGCTTACATGATAATTGGGCACTTGGGGATGTGCCGTGACATGTTGGGCGAATGTTTTCTGCGAGGTCCCGCGGTAGCACAGGTGGGAATTTCTAATGGCCCGTTGAATGCTGCACACATGTTTGCTCTGTGCTGAGACAGGGTTATTTCTCAGCTGGTTTCACCGAGCGATCGGGGTGGCTGGGACCAGGATCCGCCTCAGAGCGACACAACCTGCATCCCTGGATGCTGGAGGATGGGGGAAAATAGGGGGTGGGTAAAGGAAGGGGCTATCAGAACAAAAAGTGATCAACTACTGGCCCAAACAGGTCCCTCCTGAAGGCATAAACCCTTCTGGTTTCATTTAAAAAATATTTTCAAGGTCTGTGGGGTTCTTTGAATAAATGGACACAGTTTTTTTTCACATTTTCCTTACCTGGGGCTGGGGGAACACATTGTCGGCTCCAAGAAGGTGCAGGACTGGGTCTTCTCCTGGTTGTGCATGGTGGTGTTTTCTTCCTTTAGCTTTGCCTTTTGCCTGTCTTTTGGTTTATTTCTTCAGGTCTGTGATAAGATGGGGGGAGAGGGGAAAGAGGGAAGCATTCTAGGCTATTTCCGGATTTTTTTAAAACTTCTTTTTTTTAACATGGCATGGGATTACCAGCTGGTATCTTGTATGAAGGTTCTTGATCATTTAAGATTTGATTTTCAATAACTTGCTGTTGTGTTTGTTTCTTGAGAAATAAAATCTCCACCACTGCAATAAATGTTATCTGAAATACAGCATTCTGAGGATACTGAAATGATAATTTGTGTTAAACATGTAGATGGATATAGATAAGAATGAATGTGTGGGCAATGTACTCCCACATACGTTTACACACAGAGAAACTATGGATTTAAATATAACGTGAATTGACTTATGTAAGTAATTTTAAAAATTCCTGTGGAAAGAAAATACTCATCTTAAAATATGTTTACATTATGTTATAGTTCTCCTAGTTAAGAGGAAGCTGTGTTTATCTGCAAATACTTGCTTGTAGAGCTTTTGCTGTTGAAAACTTAATTTTTTTTGATATGTAGATGGATATAGATATGAATGCATGTGTGGGCAGTGTACTCCCACGTAGGTTTACATATAGAGAAACTATGGATTTAAATATAACGTGAATTGACTTATGTAAGTAATTTTAAAAATTCCCATGGAAAGAAAATACTCATCTTAAAATATGTTTACATTATGTTATAGTTCTCCTAGTTAAGAGGAAGCTGTGTTTATCTGCAAATACTTGCTTTTAGAGCTTTTGCTGTTGAAAACTTAATTTTTTTTTCCCCCTGAGGATGTAAAGTCCTTTCTTTCACCAAGCCAGTGAAAAGTTCCATTAATGTAAGTGGGATCAGAGCTCACTGGGTATGCTTATTGCAGAATTAATAAATATCTGGGAAAATAAATAGTTGGGACTCAAGCAGTAAAATTGCCCTATATACCAGAAGATGAGATTTAGCACAAATAAAAAGTGTATGTTTGCCCTGCATCCCAGCAGCATTCAAACTCACTGTTTTGACTGCATGATTTCATATCTGTGCTCACTGCAAGATGGAAAGGGTTTTCATTCAATACTGAAGTCAATAATTATGGAGGTTATCATTTTCATGCTCAGGAATTCATGTCATTTTCATAAATCATTCATTTCATTTCATAAATCATGCTTTACAGCTGCAGAATGGAAACTTATTGCTGGACATTGATGAAAATCTTGTTTCAGTCACTCAGGTAAGGTTATGACACTAAAAATGTTTTAAGGAAATATAGATGAAATCATCCATAGGAATAGTGCAATTTGAAAATTTTTTGGCTTGGGATTAACTTCATTGGAACGTAGCTAATATGAAATGTGAATAATTTAAAAGAGCATAATGGGTGAAATCAGTTCTGTAGGGACAGTGAAATCACAAAAATAAAAGATAACTATTTGGTGTCCAGAATCTCATATGCGGCAAGTGGATGAAACTTATGTCTATGTCAGAGAAGATGTGTTCATTTATTCAGGCTGGGAATTGGATTGTAGAAAAAACCCAAAAACCTAGATCCAGAATCCAGATCTGAACTGTTTAGGACTTTAAAATCCCACCTCCTCCAAGTGTTGCTGTTTAAAGCTATCTCTAGTAAGTAAATGATGAAGTTATGTACCCACTAAATTTCTGTTTGCATTCTCTGACGTAATTCTCTAGCTCCTGATTCATATAAGGTTGCTATTCTGTAAGAAATAATTTCCCTGTGAATATATTCCTTTTTCTTGGGGAATATTGTGAACGAGGGTTTATTACAACCAATAGTGAACTTGACTTTCCTGTCACTCTCTCCAGCTGCCTGTTTAAAAATCCATCTGCAGAGTTTCTCTTAAGAGCTTTAGCAGAATTAGATCTGTGAAGAGTTTCCAAAGATCCATCATCTTGAAGGACCCTGAAAAACATTACTATTAATATTCCTCTTTTACAGGGGCATTGAGGCATAGACCTCTGAGAAATCCATACCATACAAATTCTGAGTTCAAAAAGTATACTCACTATCAATTTTCAGTATCAATATGAAACTTATAATATTTTTTTCCACAAAAAAATGTATAACTGTACAGGCACTTCCTCTTAGCTTGTGTAACCACGTGTGCCCTGCCCTTTCACGTCCCCTCTGGCTTGCTCTACTGGGATGGAGGCACTGAGGGAGCCTTTGCTCGTGGTCTCCAAAAGGACACAAGCGATTTCTTAGTAAGCCAGAGAGAAGAAAACAGTGAAAAACTCAGCATCCTCCAGGAAAAGGGCAGATTTAGGGGTGGTGCTGAACAAGCAATTGGGAGAGATGAGAAGAAAGTGGCTCTTTCAATGATTCAGTGTCACCTGGCATCTCTTGAGTCAGTAGTGCCTACAGGAGGCTTGAAGTGATTTCCAAACAAGTGCTGCTGTTGTCATTATTCCAACTTTTCTGGGCATTTTAACAGTGCTCGCCTGGTGTGTTTGCACACACTGCAAAAGTAAATTATGGGCTTCTTATTTTTGCAGAAGGTACTTCTAGCAGTATTGCTGGTGTGTTTGCACACACTGCAAAAGTGACTTATGGGCTTTTTATTTTTGCAGAAGGTACTTCTAGCAGTATTTTAGCAATGTACAGTAGAATCAGTGTACCCCAAAGAAAAAGTGGATTTTCTTCTTTCTCCCTTCTTCCATTTCCACGCAGATACTTAGAGGGATATATAAGCCCGTAAGATGAAAATATATTGTCACATCACTAAAGCAATGTGATCTATTTAATATATGACTTGATGTGAGGAAATGTGAAATAATTCTTCCCTAGGTACATTGTTAGACATAAAGCTGAGAATCATCCAAGCTGCTAGACAAAATTCCAGGTCTAACTGATTGTAGCATTGCTTTTGTATATGGGAATAGAGATTGGATTGCAGAAAGGTATAAAACTCTGAAATCATTGTATTTTGAATAGTAGTCTTATTGCTCAAAAGATCACTGTCATAGAAGGTTGGTGGGAAAAGAAATATCTTAGGGCAGTCTTGCTGCTTGGTTGGTTGGTTGTAAAGTCTGACCAGCCAGTGGGGTTAATGTCCAAAGCACTGACCGTTGGCTATATTTGGAGGTCAGATTATATTTTGAATAGTAGTCTTATTTCTTGAAAGATCACTATCATAGAAGGTTGGTGGGAAAAGAAATATCTTAGGGCAGTCTTGCTGCTTGGTTGGTTGGTTGTAAAGACTGACCAGCCAGTGGGGTTAATGTCCAAAGCACTTGAGCGTTGGCTACATTTGGAGGTCAAGAATTAATAAATTTCAAGCCTATATACGTGATAGAAGGCTGCAAGGTTTATGTGCCTAAGCTGGGAAGCTTAGGGCAGTCTTGCTGCTTGGTTGGTTGGTTGTAAAGTCTGACCAGCCAGTGGGGTTAATGTCCAAAGCACTGACCGTTGGCTATATTTGGAGGTCAAGAATTAATAAATTTCAAGCCTATATACATGATAGAAGGCTGCAAGGTTTATGTGCCTAAGCTGGGAAGGAAATTCAATGAACTGAGTTAAGATTTGCATTACATCTCATTCATAATGAGATTTAAGGCTTCCCACATATGTGGGCGTGATTGAGTGTGATAGAGGAAAGAAGGAAAGCCACTAAGCAGAAGAAGGGTTGTGGGGAAGAGTAGTTTTTGAGTTTCCATTAAAGCTTTCTAGTATAGCCACCCTGATAAGGATGGTAGATGGAAGAAGGAAAGCCACTAAGCAGAAGAAAGGTAGTGGAGAAGGAGTAGTTTTTGAGTTTCCATTAAACCTTTCCAGTATAGCCACCCTGATAAGGATGGTAGATGGGTTTTAGGTTTCCTGGAGAGCTATAAGGGATCCGTGCTTTACTGTTCCTGGACTCCAGATGAACTGATTTGCAGGTGCAGATGGGTGGAAGAGAGTAATTTTACTCCAGAACATGTGAAGGACCTTTGATTTTGCAGCCACTCAAGGTGCTCCTAATTATGAAAGTGCTATTTCTCTTCTGGTCCAGTTGAGTGAGGTCTGTATGGATGACCTATTTTGAGATCAAACTGAAGGACGCCCTGAGAAAACATTTCTAGCGTGACTTAAATGTAGAGCCTCAAACTTTTAATAACCCAGTTGTGCATCCTCTTTCAAGTCCACTTATCCAGGTCACACCTGTCCCATGGGCAAGGGGAAATCAGGCAGCACTTTAAAAGCCCTTCCTTTCTGTCTCCTTCTGTCATTTCCACAGTCTGCTGCCGTGTTTTAAGACCTTGAAATGAGGGTTTAGAAAAGGAGCAAGGGAAAAGGACTGGCCATAAATCATGCTTGGTGCTCACTGATGTTCAGGACAGAGCAGTAATGCATCCAGGCCCATTCAGGATGGTTTTTTCATGCTTTATTCATTTATTATTTTTTTTATGGTGGAGAATTCCCTACAGAATCATTTTATAGGGTTAGCTGCTGGCTATTTGGGTCCATCAAGCAATATCAAAATCCCACAGCTTGAACCCATGTGCTTGCTACATATGGGACCTGACATTTGAAGCCTACTTGGCTTTTTGGGGGGTTTTCTATTGCTAGCTGTTACTAGCTAAGTTTGCAAGTTCTCACTAGTTAACTCATAGTTTCTTCTCCTCAAAAGATAAATTGAATTTTTTTTTCTCTCTCTTTACAGGCTGTTACCCAACTAGAGCTTTTTGGGGACATGTCCACTCCTCCTGATGTAACCTCTCCCCCAGTGAGTATCCAGGGAAACTGAACTGTGCATTTTTCTACATGCTATTTTCAGCATATTTATTGAGCACATTTACAATTCAGGTCATCAGCCATTCCAGTAGGGAGAATTTCAAAGTAGTTTTAATGTTGGGAGAAAATAAAAGTGAAGCAAATTGAATGTGGAGTCACTGCTTCGTGATGATGTGTAAAAATATCTTCCATTTTTATTTTTCTGATATAGGGCTAGGTGTCACATAAGATATAACCTGAGCTGCTGATCTCCTTCCCTGGTGTTTATCAGAGGAGCATGCTTCACTGCACTCTCTCTCTCCACTGCACTGCAGGAGGATCCAGTTAAAGCCTTATATATCATGTCTCTTTGGTTCCACCAAGCACGTATCCCAGAATGGCTGTTAAAGGAAGGAAAAACAAAACAGTAAAGACAGAGAGGACAGAATGTGTTTTGAGGGCAAAGAAAATTTTTTCAACGTGCTTTTCTGCATCATAAAATGAGAAGCCAATCATTTTCTTATAAAGTTTTTGAACCTTACATTAAGCTGTAGGGGAGTATGAATCTACAGAGAAAACTGAGGTGCTTTGAAATCATCACCCTCAGATCTTTAAGGTATTCTGGAGCACGTCCAGGACTAGATGTTCCAAGTCTTGTCTCCTTAGCTTGCTCAATTAGATTTGATTTCTCCTTTAATGTAGACCTATGGTTCTGGTCCTGTTGGTTAGTTGGAAGCAATATGTATTTGCTTTTCTATGAATCCTGCAGATATTTCATTTGCCTTTACTGTTTCTTACATTAATGCCTTGGTCTTCTGCCTCTACTGGTTGGCACCTGACACCTAGAATCACGAGTCTATGTGTTCTGGAGAAATAAATGATGTCAATATTTTGCATGTGATGTATTCCAGGCAAATTTTATTTTTATTTTTTCCTCTGGTACAGTGTCTCCCCTTCCTTTTTCTCCTGTCTCCAGCAAATTCTGTTATTTCTGTAGCTTCTTTCCTTCTACATCTTTCCATTCTTTTCGCTTTCTCTTTCTTCCCTCCAAACCTGTATTTTTAGAGTTACGGATGCCGTGACAGCGAAGTACGTGCTGCGGAAGCTGCAGCTGATGTGTCATCGTTGTATTTTATTCCTGTCTTCTTGCAGACTCCTGCTACTCCAGGTGATGCCTTTATCCCATCTTCATCCCAGTCACTTCCTGCAAGTACAGACATGTTTGGTTCTGTACCTTTCAGCACTGCTGCCGTACCCTCAGGTAGGAGATCAATTGGAAGTACAAGCTCGACTCAAATCCGGTGCTCGGTTCTCAGCCCTGGTTTGCATTTCAGTACCCGGGGCATTAATTTAGAACAGTGGAAGTGGGAAAGGATTTTGAGGACAGTGCTGCAGGGCGAGGCAAAACAAGTCTTTAACAAGCAGGGAGTACATTATCTTGAATTTACCCCCATTTTTTTAAATAAAAGCCAAAACATTCGCTGGGAGTTCAACCATAGTTCAGCCATCTGGATAACATACCTTCTAGGTACAGTAGTAGCAAGACAGAAAAAAAAGCATTTAGTTTAGCTTTGTAGTTTTTGTGGTAGCAATGAACATCCTGTGCTGTCTCCAGTAAGCAGAGGTATGGAGATATGGAAAATTTGGTGGCGTTTCAAAGGTATTCCACTTAGTCAAATCCTGATATTTCCTTTAGACTTCTCTGTGTTCCTCAAAGTGCTCAAAATTCAAAAGCTGTGTAGCAAGGTGTGTGGTTGTGACTGCTCATCTCTCCCCGGGGCACTGGGAGCACTGAGAGAGCTGCGCTCTCAGCTCCACTTAAGGGGGGGAAAAAAAGGAGGAGGAGGAGTGCCTTGAATCATTCAACAGTGACTTTCTAATTGGTTAACTCCTACTCTGATGGGCTGTGTTGCAGCATCAGATTAGCCACTGCATTTCCAAAAGGTTACAGTGATGCTGAAGTTTCTGGGGGTAATGTCAGATGAAAACCCTCGCTGCTGGGATAAGGTTACATTGGAGGCAAGATAAAAGGACATCTGGAGAATCCATCATAGCCATCTATTGAAACAGATATATATATCAAAGTTACTGTTCCTTCATCACTCGTTAATTTGGTCTTTCAAAAAGTTCTATTTTATTTTTACTTTTGGCTTTTCCCTTTATGATTTTGCAACCACCCTTGCACTCAGCATTACAGAACAGCCTAGAAATAAAGCAAAGAGGAGGAGGTACATGAGGAGTCAGAAGCACACTCAGGTTAGAAAGAGGAGTTTTAAAGTTCCGACAGCAGTAAAAAGTAAAAGAGGTTTTCATATTCTATAGTATTAGCAGTAGATCATTGATTTAAACACGAAACAGCATATCTGTAAAGCATAATACTTCTACCAGTGGAACATAATTGTATTACATGGTTTAATTTGTAACATTTTTTACAGCAGTTTTAGTTTCAGAGAATTTTTTTTTTTGGTTTAACAAAGCACCTGATCATGTAATTCTTACACAGTCAAACTATTGGTAGCTTGAAAAGAGGGTTCAGGTTCTGGTGCTACAAGGGAGCGAGTTTAGGGGGTGTTTTGGGAGCTCCTGTGGTTCTGGTACGTGGTTTGACCAAATTGGTCCCAGCTGTGTCAAAGACAGAGCTCTGGGGAGGGGAGCTGCCAAATAGCCAGCTGCCAACAAGGTCCACACACCCAGGTCTTCACAGACCCAAGGGGGTACTCACTGAGGAAGAGAAGAACTTGTTTGTTGAGATGAGGGGAAGGATTATTGCAAATACCCACCAATTTGTGGGTTTGGATACAAGTACTTGTTTGGTGATTCAACCACGTCTTTCACTTTTCTTTTCAAGTGTGCTGAAGTTCTGGGAAGACTAATGTAGCCTGCGTGTTTCTGATTTATTGGGTAGCTTCTTCTGCATGCTCTTAACACAGTGGTGTTAAAAATCTTTCTTTTTTTTTTTCTCCCCTGCTCTCTTTATTCTTTGAAGGTTATGTTGCCATGGGAGCTGTTCTGCCCTCCTTCTGGGGACAGCAACCACTTGTTCAACAGCAGTTGGCCATGGGTGCTCAGCCTCCAGTTGCTCAGGTGATGCAGGGAGGACAGCCGATCGCGTGGGGCCAACCGGGGATTTTCCCTCCTACTCAGCAACCGTGGCCATCTGTAGCTGGTCAGTTCCAACCAACTGCCTTCATGCCAACACAAACTGTTTTGCCTTTACAAGCAGCCATGTTTCAAGGTACCATTGCTCCTATAGCTACTGTTCCACCCACAAGTGATTCCACCAGATCAAGTCCACAGACAGACAGGCCCAGACAGAAAATGGGAAAAGAAATGTTTAAAGATTTCCAGATGGCTCAGCCTCCACCAGTGCCATCAAGAAAACCAGATCAGCCTTCCCTCAGTTGTACCTCAGAGGCCTTCTCAAGTTACTTTAGCAAAGTTGGGATGGCACAGGAAGCAGATGATTGTGATGACTTTGACATCTCTCAGTTAAATTTGACTCCTGTGACTTCCACGACACCCTCTACAAATTCACGTGAGTATTTATATGCTTTCAGCCATACCTTTCCGCAGACATGACTGCTCCTCAAAGCATTTCTTTTTTTTTTTTCCATACGGTAAATTGCAACACAGATATGGACAGGGAACCTTCATGCATGGTCTAGCTTATTAAATGTGTTCCAGCCATAAACAAAAGTATCAGAGAAGAGTTTCAGAGCCCCGATAGCTGCAGTCTAAAATTTAATTTCTAAGAAGACAGTAATATATATTTTGTGCTAGAGACATGCAAGCTGATTGGAAAATGCCCATGACATACAGCCTTGCAAATGGTTTCACTTCTGTCCCATTCAAGCCATACTTTGCAGATATTAGGGGGTGGGTATTTCTTTGAATAGCTTGATGTATTGGACATGTGAGGTAATTCATTGAAGGGCTGTAAAATAAGCTTATGTTCATAGCGTGGAGATGGGGGATTCTTCAGATTGCTGAAAAGAGGAATTCATGAGACACATGTTTACCAGGGGCCAACCAGAGACCTTCTGTTTGCTTACCTGCCACAGGGCAGGCGACTCACGCATTCTTAATGTAATGTAGTGGCATCTCCCTGGTTCCTAAAGACATATGCCAGATGCAGCCAAACTTAATTTGGAAACTGCTGAATGAAATGAAATATATGAAATTGATAATGACGACTGTGTTCAAATTTACCTCTTACAGCTCCTCATTAGAAAATGATTTTCGGGGGTAATAAGAGTTGAGGGCACTAAAGCATGAGCAAATTTTATGCTGCTGTATCTTTCTGAACAAATTAACAGATGTGTATTCTGTTGCTGTTACCCTAATCTTTGTTTAGCTCCCACCCCTGCACCCAGACAGAGTTCTCCATCAAAATCATCAGCATCTCATACCAGTGATCCTGCTGCAGATGACCTCTTTGAAGAGGGGTTTGAAAGCCCAAGCAAAAGTGAGGAGCAAGAGGCCGTGAGTACCAACAAGGTTTCTAAATACTAATTATCTCTTTTTAGCTAGGAAAGAGAGAAATTATTTAAATATTGTTTGGTAGTGTCAGAAATAGCTGGTCTAATAGGGCTGGGGGATATTTAAGGGGGAGCTGCAGACAGCATTTAATTCCAGGTTCAGTTTTGATAGCTAAAAGCATGACATTAATGTTGATATGCACTAATATTGCATACAAGAAACCAAACTCCGAGTCCATATGTAAGGTTATGTATGTTAGTCTTATCCAATACCCTTTTTAGCATACCAGCATTCACTTGTTGATGGTCATGAAGTCCGAGGTAAAACATGCTGAGGCTGCAGGAAGAGATGTGAGAGTTTGTGTGTTAAAAAAGATGATGGTTGATGTTGTCTTGCACATTCTTGCATCCCGGTTGCTTGCCTAGTTACATTCCTCAATGTTCCGGCCCTCAGTATGTGATTTCTTTGCCTTAGACTCAGTGAAGCAAAGCAAGAAATGTTATCCAAGCAATGACTTTAAATCCCAAGGTACCTTAGGCAGATAAGAGCCTAAGTGAGCCAAAGGCAAGAGGGAGTCTGTACAAAAAAAAGGACCCAAAGGTACAAAACAACACTAGCTTGGACTCTTTCTGATTCACATAGAATGACTGGCTTTCAGGGCCTTCTGCAGCTCTGGTTTGTTTGATCCAGTACCTTCTGAAGTCTGTGGCAGCTCCTGCGTGGGCTCCAGCAGGTACTGGTGTGGTCCTTCCCTGCCTGCATCAGCTGTAGGAAACCACTATGGCTTTCGAGAACGTAGCAGTGGTGAGGTGTCACTTTGTGGTTTTCATGAGACAGGATGTACTTGCTATGCCCACAGCATGAAAAATAACCTCATGTTGACTTTTCACTTTCTTATTGTTGAGAAAAAAAGGTGTTATGTTCTTGTATTCTAGCCTGATGGGTCTCAGGCCTCATCCAACAGTGATCCATTTGGTGAGCCAACTGGTGATACTATAAGTCCACAGGTCGGTAGCTAGATAGCGCAGGTTGGGGTAGGTATCTGTCCTTTTTTTCTCTACACCTTGAGGTGCTCACTTATTCTTCCACCAGTGCCTACCATTGCTTTCATGGATGCATGGTTTGTTTTTCCTTTTCATCTCTTCTGTTTTTCCTCTCCATTATCCACAGTGTATTCCTCATGCTCAGCGGTTTGCATGGCTTTTGCCATTCACTAAGTGTTGCAGCTTATGCAAATATGTGTGTTTTGGCTGCCTGCATGCTTTAAAGAAATGCGGACTTGTTATTGTGTTCAAATTCTAAGGGGAAATAAGGAAACTGAGCCATTACTAACAACGTTTTAGACAGAACATTTTTTTGGTATCAAATCCACTCTGGCCTTTAGTCAGACATAACATATTAAATGGAATAAGCCATCTTACCCATAGACATAACAAGCATTAAATAAAATTATTTAATGACACATGCACACCTCTACCCTAAATCAATGTGATAATCAGTAGAAGCACGTTTATATCTGCATGTAAAAAATATTGAAATGGGTTTGTGTATTTTTATCTCCAACTGCAAATTAAAACATCTGAAAATTATGATCATTATCATCGGTATACTAATGCTTTAAAAATTATTCATCAAATGAAAGTCATTTAAATCCAGACAGACGGGAAAGATGATCTTTTCATCTTTTGTGTTACAGAACACGTTAGGAAATGTGGCTGCCAGTGAATGTTCTGTGATTTGTTTCAACAGAGTATATATGTTTTACCAAAAAAGACAGTAAAGCTACAAAGTTTTATGGGTGCTGAACATTGTTATTCCATGCAAATACTCTCTAGTGTTGCTACTTGAAGGATATGTTTCATTATCTTCTCTCTGTCTGCCATTCATGTTTTGTATTACCCAAATAAGTGATCTGGTAGTGCTCCTGTGCTTCAGCACAGAGCTCCTGGAGCAAATCCATAACAATGGTAGAACCCTTTTTATTTTTGTACAGAAATTGCACTGTGGCTACCAGTGACTTATCCACCCTGAGCTGAAATAATGTGGTTTCAACTACAAAATTAGTAGTTTCATTAGGAGTCAGTTTACTTTGTACATTAAATATAGTTAAAGAAATCTTAGAGTAACTTAGCTTTGATCCCCTTGGGAGTAATAAGATTATGTCTTAATAGTATGTGGTGCTGTGAGAAGGCATCTCCCTCTTCTTTAGCTTCACCAACGTGATGCTCAGCTCTTGGGGGCTAAAGCAAGAGTAGCATTAAGCTTTGTGTCTCATTGAGCCTAAAAATGAGAGTCCAAGGACAGAGTCAAGTCTCTAGCAAGAGCATCCGTTGGTTATTGTACTCCAGCAAGAACTGCTTCTGCAGATTGATGGTTCCACATACAAATTTGACTTTGCCTTTGCCTGACCTTGGCCAGCACTGACATACCCAGCTCTCCCAGCTTCAGAACCTTTCAAGAGTTCTTTCCTAAATCAAGAAAGAAAATTTGACCTTTATCTGAGTCCCACACTCAGCAAACCCATGTACATTTGTTTATTGCGGTTTCTCCTAGTCAGGGTAATTCCGAAGTTCATCACGGGGAGAATAATGATAAAATCTTTTTCTAATTTTCTGACTGTCACAAAGATAGTTAGCATCATTTGTAAACTAGCATCACACACATATACCTACCAGGAATTCTGGAGATAACTTGGAACAGTAGTTTAAATCTGTTAATGCATATTACTGTGTAAGGCAGTCAAGTGAGGGACTCCTCTTGTTCTGCTTTTATATAATGCTTGGTAAAATACATTATTTTACCTCTCAAGGGTCCCTGGGAGCTGCAAGAACAATATATTACCAGTGATTCCATATGTTTTTTCTGTATTTTTTGTTAATCCTTCTAGAGTCTTACGTAAAGAATGTATAATAAAGACTATATTCTCAGAAATATAGTCTGGGAAATGTTAAATAATATTACTGATTATTGTATTACGGTAATTCTTAAAAGCTGTAGGCAGGAAGAGGAAGCTGAACAAAGAGAAAGCCTGTATCCAGTGAAGTTACAGTAATATCATTGTGCCTCTGTGCAGTGCCATTCAGCAGCAGGCCCTAGGAAATCCACTTGCTAAAACCAGCCCATCTAATTCTGAAGCCTAGTAGCGTCAGAGCAAGGGAAAGACTAATCTCCATGGAAAATTATCAATTCAGGACTTACTACTGTGTTGTGTATTGAGCTGCACATTTGAAGAGAAACTTAATGGGGAGAAACATGTAGTATAAAAGAATCACAGTCTGCATAAAAGCCACTTTTGTGTGTTAGATGGGAGATTACTTCGCTCTTTAGAACATGGTTCTTCACACCAAGAACAGCACAGTATACAACTCAGATGAATGGACCTCTCAGGAGCATGACATAGTATTGTGTTCAGAAATTTCAAATATATCTGTTCCCAGCATCTCTATGGAATCAGCTGTGTCCATGTGATATCTTGACTTACCTTGTCTTGATGTATTCAGGATGCTCACCTGCCTAGCATTTTGTATGCTGGTCTTTCAAGGTACCTTAGCAATTTGGTCTGTTGATTCCTTCTGATACTCTTTATTCTCATGTAGAAATAATTCAGCAACTTTCAGTCACTTAATTTCTCCATTTTTCCTTTCTGCCTTTTGCGATCTTCAGCTTAAGCTCTCAAAATCATCATCCTACCAGTAGCCGTTCTTACAAGTCACTCTTCTACAAATAGCTATGGGTTCTTTGTAGGTAGATGTGACATTTTATGGATAAGTTACATTTTTGTCCCTTTATGGTTGGAGATAAGAAGCGGACAGGTCTAACTTTCATGGGTGAAATAAAATCAAGCATTTGCAGAACTATTCATAGCAAGATTTGTATTCAGTGGTTTTCCCTTTGTTCATGAGCAACGTCGAGGATGGATGGTGATTTTCCAGAAGGGGTGAGAAGAACACTGAATAATAAGCCTGCCATCTTCAACTGACTTATATTTAATCCCTACTGCTGTCTTAAGACATTGTCGGAGGGATAACTATCATGAAAGGAGAGAGAGAAAGAACTGTGTTTAGCTATGATTCTACCAAATATGTTAAACATCTCTTATTATTGACATTTTGGATTAAAGTGAGAACTTTGAACAAAGGAGTTTTCTTCTGGTCATCCTCTTTGCACCAGTATACCCAGTCAGACTGAATTAGAGGGTGTTGGGTGCAGACCCAACCAGTGCAATGGGTGTGCCACACCATGACACTAGGAAGCCCGGAAGCTATACAACTGACAGCTTAACAAAAGCTGTAGAAAGGGAACCTTGTAAGCATGATGAGAAAAGGGAAAGTGAGGAGCAAACTTTGACTCTCTGATGTCAGGCTTCTTTGGATACCTGTGGTTATCTTGGCTGGAATCTCCTAAGAAAACATCCCAACTTTGGAAAGAATAAATTCAGCCTGAAGACTGGAACTGGACATCACAAGTGTGGTCTAACCATACAAACTGGTTCTTGAAGCGAATTAGCAACAGGGTGAAACTTCTGAAAGAGAATAAGGGGATATTTGATGCCACAATTATTGCAGTAAATGTCATTTTAGGTGCTGGAACAAATGCAGCTTTATTGATATGCTGCCCAGTTCAAGATTTGCGCTGGCAGTCGTTCATGAGAGATTCTCAGGAAACATTCAAAACATTTGTGGCTAGAGCATGTCTTCCTCAAAAAGTTGTTTGGTTGTTCTGTGAAATGTGTGCAGACAATCATAAGCCCTCAAAATATGTCACACCCTTCACGATTCTATCAGCACTGTCAGGAGAGCAACAGTTCATTAGAATATTTGTCTATCAGCTTTTGGTGGTACTTTGGTGGCCCGCTGCCATCATCCATCTTTGAGAAAGTGCCATTCTTAGTGATAAATGTTCCTAATAATCTTAGTCAGCTCCACGATGGACTACTATAACTCTTTATTTGGGCTGTTACTGGGAAGTTGAAAGAAAATAGCAACTTATGGACAAAGCATAGGCTTATCTGGGAGCTTGGTGGGCCTCAGGAGGGTGCATTAAGCTGGTTCTGCAACCTCCTCTTCCTTTCTGCCTTTTGCATGAAGAATCTGAATGGGCTTAAAATATCAAAGGCTATTTTTGCAGGATCTGGTAGCATCATTCACCCAGCTCAGTCAGAACTGAATAGAGTCCAAAGAGAAATTCATAATGATTATACGTGGCCTATTCTTACCGTAGGCTCTAGAGTGTCATTCTCAAACTAAAGACACAGCACCCAGCAGGGTTGTGAACCTGAGACAGAAGTAAGGAGTTGTGCATTTGGAAAGAGATCACAGTTTGGGAAGTACGGCTTCATTCCAGAGTAATCCTAAAATTGTAATTTCAGACCCCATGCTCCTTTGTTCATCATCGTATTTCCCAGGGAATCTGAAGGGACAGGACCAGAGAAATCCAGGCTGCTCTGTGAACAGAGGCATCCTACAGATTTGCCCCCTTCTCCGCTGCTAAAATCCCCTTTGAGCTACCCATTTGAATATAATCAGCTCATACACAGTTTTCTTACCTCTTTCAGTGTTTCCAAGCCTTCTTGAAGTAGCCAGGTACCCTTCCAGTTCTCCAACTTCTTTCTCCAAACAAGAAACAACATACTGTGTAGCTTGCGTAGAGCCGTGTACTTGCTGATTGGCTGGCTTATCTGGAAGCCTGGTGGGCCTCAGCATTAAGCTGGTTCTGCAACCTCCTCTTACTTTCTGCCCGTTGCGTGAAGAATCTGAATGGACTCAAAATATCAACGAGTGTTTTTGCAGGATCTGGTACCATCATTCACCCAGCTCAGATGGAACTGAATAGAGTCCAAAGAGAAATTCATAATGATTATACGTGGCCTATTCTTACCGTAGGCTCTAGAGTGTCATTCTCAAACTAAAGACACAGCACCCACGGTTATGGTTGGCCTATTCTTACCGTAGGCTCTAGAGCTGTCATTCTCAAACTAAAGACACAGCACCCAGCAGGGTTGTGAACCTGAGACAGAAGTAAGGAGTTGTGCATT